TTTATTGACGTCAAAAAATTATACGAAATGAAACAACAAAGGAAACGCAGTTGGTTCTAATATTAAAATACGAATAAGATATAACTGCTTATCACAGTATCTCAAACTTAAACTGATTCGCTCCTCTATGTGGTATCTCTTTTTTATTTACTTGCGCTATAGTTAAAAACATGTTTACGATGTTAGTGACTAGATAGTTTAAGAAAAGTAATTTACTATTAGAGATAATCAAATGTATTTCATTTACTTCTATCACCTGAGGAGTAAACAATTTTTTCTGTTGTAGATTTATTATCCTCCATTGCCGTCCATATTTAACTGAGAACTTTTATTTATGAGATTGTATTTTACTGGGGGCTTCTTTGTATCAGGTATTTTCTGCAAAATTAACAACCACGTCGTTTACCATCTATACATAGAATATGTGTTCACTTTCTGCTCGTGGTGATTTTAAAATCTGTCAGAAACAGGCCGCAGACACCGGTCTAAATTAGTACGCGATATTCTTATATCCGTATGGTGCACATTTGTAAATCAGTGGAATGGAACGTGATCTGAAAAAGTAATCGTGATACCTCGCTGGAAGCTACTATCAATAAATGCTGAATATACGAGAACGCTCTGGCAAGAAGAGGAAGAATAATAAAATGTGAGAAAGTCAGTTATTCTGGCTACAAGTTAAAATAGTAATTCGAGCTTGTTGAACCATCGTACTAGAGAGAGAGAGAGAGAGAGAGAGAGAGCAGAAAATCTCCACAGTACACAATCGGGTTTGTTTTCCATTTTTATTTTTACAACCGACAATCCAAGCATTATTGGCCATTGGCCATGAGATTTACACGTGCGGCCAGTGTGTTACGTGGATACGTACAATCGTTATAAAAGTCGGATGCCTACACGGCTGTATTTCTACTGAAAAATCTTCCACTGCGAAGAGGCGAGCTTTTGTTCGCAAGAGCGACAAACGCCAATCAAAGAGAACACCTAGCGTCTTCTTCAAAGTTGGGCTTTTGCAACCAAGCAACTGTAAACGATTATTCATTTTGGTAACAAATTCTTAAAATATACTCGGGATATAAAAGAAAACGGCATGATAGAAACAGTAATAGTACTATTTACAAGATCGTCAAGAAAATGTTTATCTAATCTGGATATTTTATAATGAATCGAAGCTCGAGTCCTGGGTTATCGGTAAAAAATTTTGCACTACGATTTATCGTATTCCAATGTGTAATTTTCCGACCGGGGAAATAGGGTTTTTACCCTGGAATCAGTGTACCACGAAATAGCATAGGAAGACTGCATCAGTGAGTGGGACACGAAGAAGGGGAAGTCGGTCGATGCCGTGGAAGCATGGCACGCTGGAATCACGTGCACATCAGCAAGCACCCGCGTGCTCACCCAAGCTGTTCCGTTCAACACGCTTTCGCCTTCCCGGGTACAATGCCCATCGCGTTCCGGACCATTTTTATCCCCTCAACGGGCAACGGACAACCGACTCGTCTGCGACCGTTAAGAAATTTTATAAACAGCAATCGTGCCGTGGATTCCGGTTTCCCGCAACGATTAAATGTTACATTCCGTAGCATAAGCTTTATTAAATAACAATACAACTTTGCGGTAACATTAAGCAACTGCTATAACATGGCTGAGATGTCGTCGATCATGAAAAACTGGTTAATGTATAGATGGTAAACGTAATTTTAGGGATTAGGATTTGTAAGGTAGGACGATCAGGGTTAGTACTTGAGGATGGTCAAAGTCAGGATTCAGAAATTATGCAGCGGAGATAGGATGAAGTTCGCGTCAAGGAATAAATAAGGAGTCATAGGATGATGAATTTCGATATAGAGGTATCGAAGATAAGCAGTATCTCTAACTTAAATTCTAAATATCGTTGGTATACTAACTTAAATACTAAATATCGTTGGTATACAACAGGATCAATACTCGAGTCCATATCGAGATCAACCGTTTCGAAAAATGATGGGCTCTTTTATCTTGTTGACGACAAGTAGAATAGAACACGCACGTGGAAAGATACGGAGATCGGGGGATTGTTTACATCATCATATGAAGCAATACACTAGTGACATAGATAAATATTCACGGACATCGAAAAAACCATACATCGAAAAAGCCATGGCTAATAGTCTGTGTGACAACGAAATGGAATTTATGATAACGAAAAGACACTGAAAGTTGTATGACTTTCTAATGATTCTCGATTAGACTTAATATTAGAAGTTGCACCTGCCATTTTCATGTCATTAAAACTCGTTTCTCTCGAAGGATTACACGTTATGTATCGAAACTCAGGAATCATTTGAATCGGATTTGATACTTTTGGTAATTTTGTGAAATGAAGTATGATTTTTATGTAATATCTATATGTACCTCCCTTTGTACGATGGATGAAGCGCACTTCACTTTCAACCATAATCAAGGCCTCGTGCATTACTCACTATTTACGTAACTGCATAAAACGAAGGATAAAATACTTAGTTTGCTTTTAGCGAGGTAAAACTGAGGTGCTTTTAATTCTTTATCTTGGCCGGTTCGCATTCACTATTTTTACGTCCGCTAGTTTTTAAGTCATCGACCTACCTCTACGCTAGAAAGCTTGGCCGAGGTCTCGAATGTGTTCACCTGCCAGCAATAATTAATGAACCCCTTAGCGAGCTGAATACAGGATAGACGCAGTGAATCAACGGTGCATAGCGATTGTATATTCAAAATCTCGATCGAAAACCGTTCTAAATTATTTCCTTTTACGATTCTCGTTTCTTAATTTAGTTCTTCTATAAGAGAAATAACATTGGGGACGAGTGCGACACGTGGAATGTTAAACAACAGATTTATTAAGCTGGTTCAATTGGATAATGACAACCTCAATTTACAATTTTCCAATTATACTTAAATGACTATCCGCAAGTCAGGAGTACAGAAGGCGTGGCCCCGTTTAATCGGTGGTTCTGGCTTTTTATAGACACGTGCGTATATATCGTAACTAGCAAACTCTTCACTTTTTTTACATCGCATTTTAAAGGAAGAAAAAGATGTACCAATTTTAGGGATGCAGTAGATATCCACGAATTACAATGTTAGCCTCCGCACATATTGTGAAACAAAAAGTTGATCGAAACGATCAATGGATAAGATGACGCGTATCGTGTCTACGTTCGAATCAGCTGTTCGCTAAATGTCATTGAGATGGTTGGAGCAGCAACGCCGTTGTCGCGATATCAGCTACGTGAAACAAAGCTAAGCGATAACTCGCAATGCTCTACGAAGTACAAAAAATAGCGATGCATTTGGCTAATTTTTCAGTATTAAGTATCTACATCAGAATATTGTATGACGTGTTGTGCCAATTACAAAATAATTTGCAAGACGATCAATAGTTTCAAGTTTGAGAACGTCAGCAAAGTTGAAGGAACGCAGCTACTCCATCGCAATAGTAACAGGGTTGAAAAGAATTAGCAAAAAATATTCCATGTTTCGAGATCAATCTTTTTGTTATACATTGAGGAAAATAAGTTTTAGCAACATCGGCGTCCTATTTAAATGACACAAATGAAAAGACACTTGATAATGAATAAAGAAAAAATTAAGTGTTTCACGTAACTGAAACACTGTACCAAAATACAGTAAAAGAAATGTCAATTTTTTAACAGATTTAATCACATAGCAGTGAGCGACCTTAATTAAAAATTGTTTGTCAAATGGATTCCTTACCTTAACAAGTGACCCTATGAATTGTAGCTTTCACGATGTAGAACGAATACTACGACGACGTCTTTCACACTGTACAAACTCGATTAATTGAACTTGTCATAAAAAACATGAACACGTAACGCGAATAGTTACACGGCTAGGCTTCGTAGTATTCTGATTCTGATAGATTCGCCGTGTGCAGGGTACAATTGCGTCCAGCGAGGGCGCTCCCAAGGAAAATCAGCATCGCGCCGACGCTGAGAAGCGAAGTGCTGGCGAATCCAGCCTCGAAACAGAGCCCATAGAATTTCATCGATCGCCTATGCATGGATGCAGAAGGTCCATAGTTTCTAACAATCCCGAACGGAGAACTACAAATCCTAAATTTCTGGACTAATTACTCCATTTCATCCCGCGGTTCGATACTTCAGATATTATGCAAATCCCTTTGCATTATAAATAACAATTGTGCGATTATGCACTTAATGTGATAGTCTTCTCGGATAGTAAAGAATTTGGTATAGAATCAGATGGGAATCTTGACTATTGCATGAAAAGAATAAGGAAAGGAATTAATAATGGTGTGATATGTCATTAAAAAGAAATAAAATTGTATTTATTAAACATTAAACATGCAAATATTACAATAATTCATTTGGACGAGCCAAATAGATCTTCTTTTTATATATTATTTTGTAATGGAATTTAATTATTTACTTTCCATTCGTTCTCTTCAATACTGTTTAATGCCGACGAGAAATTCAGTTAGTAACACGAATCTCACACAGCTGTTAGTTAGAATCTGAAACGAATCGCAGACATCAAACTACGAGATTAAGATCGTTCCCTTTTATAATTATACATACCGATTATTCCTTCTCAGCTTCCAGTTGATAATGATAGCGACGTAAAGCAGCTAAGCGTAATCTTTCAGTCTCTAAAGCTTGTTCTAATTCCAGTACGCGCACCTGTGCTTCCATTTCTAATCGTTTCGCTTGGTGCAGACTTAGTCCAGAAACATCTAAATCGTCTGTAATACAGCAAACGTGTCAGAGTTTTATTATTGATGAAAACTATCGAGAGAAGACTCAAAAGTAACGTTACCATTCTCTTCAACAAGTTGACTACAGTTTTTAGCTGTAGCAACGACGCTTCCCGTTGCTTGCGTTACGTCCCTCGATGCTTCGGAAAGCGCAGCTAAATTATTACTATTTCTATTCGCTTTTACCCTGCTTGCAACTACCAATTGCGCGGTAGACGCAGCAATTCCCTGTGATGCGACTACTAACTGTTCGAATTTACCGTTACCAGACACAACTTTATCTGCCGCTTCCCTATAAATATTCATGAATTATTTTTATACACTTCGTAGAGTATTTATTAGACGCAGATAGACGTATCTTACTTACAATAAAAGATTAGCACCCATCGCTACTGCTTTAGCAGCTGATATGAGTCCCTCGGACCATTGGTGATTACGTTTATAAAATTCCGTAGCCGAAGCGGTACCCTAAAATTGAGAACGCTTTATTTTACAGTACTGTGTTAAATGACACGGAACATTTACCTTCCCTTGTTCAACGATTTCTGCTTGCAGTAATCGCGACTTTTTAACTAACATTCTTATGCATTTCATTAGATCTGTACAAGAGTCTAAAATTTTTCCATTCACTTCTAACTTCAGTCCTGAATCTGCTGCTCGAGATTTTTCCAACATATCCTGATTCATTCGATTAATTAATAATACGTACATACGCATAATTGCAATAATTACTGCAGTAAAGTTCAATATGAAATACCTGTATTCTATTAGCAGCTTCTTCGATCGCTTTATCCATGCTCAACAGTTCTGTTTCTACCAAATTTCCAATAACTTCAACGTTGCTTTGGGTGTTCGATAATGTAGAGGCAAGTTCGCATACTTTTTTGAATTGCTGTTTTACTTCGTTGATTTGGCCCACGGTAATAGGTGATCTCTCTCTTATATAATTGAACATTGTTAACGATTGCGTTCCCAGTTGTTTACACTCGTCAGTTAATTCTAAGATAAAGACATTTAAATAGACATTTAAATCCTCTGATAACAATTCTAATTCAATTGATTACTTACTGTCACCTAACGCGATATCAATGGACGTATTTGACGTAGACTTCGCATGAATCAGATAAAGTCCCAAAACATACGCGACGTGAATTGCACTTTTAATAAGAACCTTCCCGTTCGTTGTATCGCACACGTAACCGGTGTATGACGCGTCTAGAGTGTCTAGCGCTTTTAAAGTTGGTTCCTCTAGTTTTTCAAGGTACTGTGGGGTACAAGTCAAATCCGACATCGCGGGATTATCAATAGCGTTCAATGAATATTGCATAATATTTTCTGCCTCGGAAATGCAGTTCACTAAAATAATTGCTTTTAGTTTAGACAGCTGAACGAAAGTATTGTTCATTATCTAGAGAGGAATATATTTACGTAGCAACTCGTTCAACATAGTGTCCGCGTACGTGTTCATTTCGTTACGACATCGTTCGGCTTCGACTTCCAACTTTTCGATCTTTAATTCTAACTCCTCTTTCTGCGCCAATAAATCGTGCAGATCCCCTTCCAACGACGTTTTCTCAGAAATTACAAAATCATTTTTAGCAATCAATGCCTGAAATATTATAAATTTATTGAACATATCGAAGTAGAAATGAAGTCAGAGCGGAGTAAATAGAGAGCTACTAACCGAGTTCTCAGTTTTCGCATCGGTCAACTGTTTCTTCAAATCATCCAAGTCGTGCTGAGCTTCGACAGCTTTTCGCGCTTCTTGCTCCGTTATAGCTTGACCTTGTATCAGTTCCTCGAGACGGCGTTCTGCTTCGACCGTTCGTCGCTCGGCTTGATCTTGTGACATTTTCAACATTCCTAACTGCTTATCCACCTCGACCTTCTATTATAAAACACAATAAACTTACTCAGTAAAGTTCCCTACAACTTCCACGAATTAACAGTAATTCTACCTTTCTGATTAAATTGATATGTTCATCCCGAAACTTCGAGTAGGCGTCTTTTAACTTCTGAAACTTCTCCTCCAAGACCTTGTACTTCCCTAAAGAAAGAAAAATCCAAGACAATTAAAAATATTTCTTATACAATGCAATACGAGCAACAGCCCCTGACCTTCGCCTTCGTGAACTTTCACCATCATATCCGCCTTCTGTTTCACAAAGTCTTGATTCACTTGTTTCTCCTGCTCGATCTCATTGCACTGAAATATAATATTATAATTAAGCGCACTGAACCGTCAAGTTGACGATAAGTAACAGCTAAGAAAAGATATTTACTTTCACAAGTAAATCAGATTCTAACTGTGTGACGCGGATCTGAAGTTCTTCCGCAATCCGTTGCTGATCCGTTAACAGCGTTAACACGCGATACAATTCTTGGCTCTGATGTCTGTTCTCCTGCTGCAAATGATCGATAAGACTTTCTCTGAAAAAATAAACGATCAACGGGCAACAATAGGAAATTACTTTTCTTCATTTCGAGAGCATCCCGCGTGAATTCTGAATTTACCTCTCCACTATTACATCGGGTGAAATAGAGCCGTTCCGCGTGGAATCTAGTTGATCGCCTGGCAATGAATTCGTATCGGAAGTATCGATCAGGCTATCGACCACAGTATCAGAGTCCAAAGATTCTTCTGGCGGTAAAACTACTCTAGGTAAATTAGTAACGTAAGTGCGCAGCTCGGATTGTACTAAAAAGTTTGGTGGGTTCTAAAACGAACATATCAAATTAACTATCCGTCGAGGTGATTAAAACTATGTTTATAAAGATAGTAACACGAGGTTCACCTCAGGTAATGCAGGTATCGTTATGAGTTGCTTAAAATACTGTCTTTGCTTAACGGTATTATAAAACTTCTTCAGTTCTTGGAATTGTTTAGAAAATCTGTCTCGATGACCGGTTAATGTGTCCGCGGGCAGAGCACCATGTAGTTTAAATAGAATTTTTACACAATAATCGTACAATTGTGACGCGTCTAGAACGCATGGAATTAACGGAGCCAGCCGACACTGTCCACTGATCGTCATCGAGTTAGACGGTGTATTCTTTAGAGAAGTGGTAACTGAAATGTTTCATTCGTGTAAATTAATACAGTGGCAAATATCTGTAATATTATCCTCGAAGTCTAGAGTACGCGTGTCGGTTTAATCGCATCGAGTCGAGTGTCGCCATTCTCGTAATTCGCAGAATCGCGAATCTACTTAGTCAGCTAATTTGATCTAAATACTCATGAAGTACACAGATACTATCGTCGTGGAAATTATTCTATTCGTTTATCAATAACGTTTCCGTATTCGATTTGACTCATCTGTTTTGATTCGGTTCGATCTGGATTATTGTGAGCTGAGCAGATTAATATGCATTGATCATATTGTTAAATCGATACCGCGATGTTTTCGTTTTATAAATACGGGCAAAGTTCGTATACTAAAGTTATTACTGTGCGATTAAACGACTGACTTAATGATGTATTGGCTATACAGTCAATCACAAAAGCTTATGTACCTTAGAAAAACGCATTTCCTATAATTAAAAAGAAATCAGACGTCGGAAGAACAATGCTAATAAATAGCTACGTGCTAAAAAGTATAGAAGGAAATATCCAATTAATTATTGACACTGGCAAAAAGGTTTTTATATAGAAGGTGTAGACACTGACATCCTCTACAAGAAAGATTTTATGCATTTTTCTTCTAACTAAAGTATTTAACGAGTTATGTGCAGTTAATTGGCATTTTATTGATGTTGACAGAATCCGACCATCCCAGCGTCGAAACAGCGAACTTTTGACAAAAAATTTCGTTTTTCCTTAATAACTCCTAAACCGTTGGTTCTACGGGATAATTGCATACAACCTTTCTTGTAGAGGACGACGAGATCTACAATTTCTATATAAAAGTTTGTCGCTAGCATTAATAGTTTACGAGTTATTAACGAAAAACGAGAAAACGGTTTTTTGCAAATTACTCGTTAACTATTGACGCTAGCAAGAAACTTTTATACAGAAATTGTAGATCTCGTCGTCCTCTACAAGAAAGGTCCTATACAATTTTCCCGTAGAT